ACATTTAGGTTGTATCAAATGCTGCCAACACTCCCTCGTTGGCACTTCTAGAAGCCAGCCTTTGCCCTGCACACAATTCTCCACAGCCCATCCCCAACCGCTGCAACAGCCCCCTCTCCTAACCACAGGTAAAAGTCCCTCTCAGCCCTCACAAAGATTTTCAAGTTGCTTTCTCATCCACCACATCAGTCCCCAATTCACTCCCTCCATCTTTCCTGTCTCAAAACTCCGCTTCTTGGGACCACATTTAAAATCACAAGCAACTCAGCTCTTTTCTACTCAGTCCCATGCGGTCAACTTCTCCTCTCTGCTTTGACAGCATCCCCAGACGAATCATCTCCCTACTACTGCTTCCATGCTGGTCATCTTAAACCTCTGCAAGGTCCTACAGAGTCCCTCCTTCTCCAGTAAAGCTGCAATCTACTGCCTGCAATACATTAACGTGAATCACAACTGATAACAACATCCCCAGGCCTCACAGATCTGCCTGTTTATCCCTCATTAGCGAGCACCTTGAAGCAGAGAGGGTGTTTTTGATAACCTGAGAAGATCCACGTGTCGGGAGGAGGACCAAAAGGTGAAGAGCAGTCTTAGAGTCAAACCACGAGATGCAGCAGATGCTGTCAGTGCTGGGCCTTTCCACTCCATCACTTCAGCCTGCAGACAAGCAGCCCACCTGCCTCCTGATCAGAAATCACTGCAGCTGAGCCCCACTGCTTCTCTATGAGCAAGGAGACTTGAAAATTACCAGCCCAGTATTCCTTGGAGATCCCATCACAGTCTACAGCACAAGGTGTCTAAATATTTCCATGATAATTACTTTCCAGAGAGCTGGCTTCCTACCAGCACAAATACACCTTGCAACGGGACAGCCAGAGCAGCTGAAGAGAAGGGACTTTTGCAAGGACATTTGTCACAGGCAGCATCGACACCAGCAAAGCACGCAATAAACGTCTGACGTTAAGATTCACGAATTTTAAGAAAACAGGCAAGTCTGACACAAACCCTAGCAAAGACTTGGCTTACATCCAGCTCCTTGGGGAAAAAGCAAGGGGTGTTTATTTCGAACGGAACAACCTCTCCTTTTCACATCCCAGGTACCTCCCGGCACCGCGGTTGCCCAGGAGAGCCTCAAGGC